CCACGCGATATTGATAGACACATCAACCGATTTCGAGCTTTCCTAATGTGGTACTGCTCCGGGAGTGGCACGACAGCTGACGCACTGCGGCTTCGTCAGAATATCCTTGAGCAATTTGTGAAGTTGGTGGAAGAATGGAACGACGAGAAGGATGACGCAGGGAGTGAGAATATTTTCAAGGAGTTTGAAAAAATGCCGCTGTTGTATTGGAAATCACTCGCTGATCGCCCCGAATATGCGCAGTTGCGGGAGTTCGCTATAAGGACACTGTCAGTGTCTTCGTCTTCTTGCGCAGCTGAGCGTAGTTTTAGTTTGCAAGGAAGGATTCGAACCTCATGGAGGAATAGGATGGATACTGCAAAAGTGAAGAAACTAGCTTTTACGCATTGGAACATGAAACTACTGGGAGATTCAGATCTCATCAGCGCGGGATTCTGGGGCTCAGTTCAAACCAATGAGGATTCACAGGAATTGACTGAGATAGACGATGAAGGCGAAGCCATAGGTTGCCCCAATGCTGAACAGGGGGAGTTTACCAGCGTGTTTGACGACGATTACGATCATTTTGATATCTCTGAAGTAGAAAACCCAAACGACCGCGTCACAACTTCGATTATTAACAGCACAGGAACGCATCCAGGAAGGACACCCCATTCAACTGGACACCATTGACTTGATATCAATCTACAGTAGAACGTTTCCTTGCCAGTTACCGGGACAAAACTGAGATTCTGATATCCTTAATTCGAATAAGAGCATCTGTAAAATGTACAAAAAAGTCGTCAGTGCTTCCCTTATGTCGTGACGCCGACTGGGGAGAGAAGAGGCTGGGGCAGTATTCTAGACCCGGGGAGCGACCGGGGCGCTGTATTTTTGAAAGAAGGGAACGGGAAATGGGCGTAGGGAGGCTGCTGAATTGTCGGATTTGATTGTACGAGGGTAGGAGTTGATCGTCGTGCACGGCAGGGGAGTGTACAAAGTCAGACGTTCAGGGGTAGAGGTCGTCAGATGTCGGGGCTGGAGGCAGGCGGGGATAGCCAAGCGGCTGGGATGAATGCGGAGCGGATGACGAGGGGGAGGAGGAGGAAGCAAGAGACGGGGGCGTAGTAGAGGGGATGTGGTCAGCGCCTGTGTGGCCTTCTCGTCAAGCACCATAACCTGCAAGTCCCTCGCTTCAGGCCTTCTCGCCAGTGAATTCAATGAGCGTCGCCCAAACTGCACTTCCCTCCATGCGAGGTATCCAAACAGTCCCACGGCGATCGTATCCACAGCGACGTTCTGCGCGACCTGCGCGGGGGTATTGTCGCCACGTGCTAGCCGTGCAAGTGCGAAAAGCGCCCCTATCGTTGCAGAGAAGGCCAGTGTGCCGAATAATGTCAGCTTTGGTTTCCGCAACGGGTGAGCAATTTCCTCACGCAAGCGATTTTCCAGCGATATACCTCCTGCATCACGCTTCTGCAAATCAGGTCCAGTTGCCGGCTCAGTCGCAGCCTCCGGAGATTGTTCAGTGAAGGGTCGGGGGGCTTCTTCCGTGGGTGGCGTCGAGAAACCAGATGTGCGCTTAGAACGAGGGCGCTTTGCTCGCTTGGATTTCGGACGGGGCTNNNTCGATGCTCTGTTAATTAAAACAGTTCAACTTTTATCTCCGAGCCCCGTCGACGAGACGTCTCGTCGTTTCGCAGCGCATCTTGGGCTTGTCGCCGAAGTTCCTGTTCTTGTCCAAAGCAAGCGACGGACCAAATGATTCAAGCGATCCTGGATAGGAGGATAGCAAAATGCAAGTTGCATCGCAAATAGGTATCGATGCGCGCAGGTGGCGATGAAGAAAGTAATTTTGTGACGATGAGTGTAAGGAACAATACTCAAGCCTATGGGCAAATACTTCCAGTCATCAACTTGACTTCCTGTCTGTGAACAAATGAAGTGCGTTTCTTAGCAATCCTCCTGTAGGACTTGCGGGCTGGTAGGTGCGAAAAGACTATGGCCGGCACCGCGGGTTGGTGAGCGGTGTAAGGTGCGGCGGGGACGTGGTGTTCAGTGGGAGCTTTGATAGGTCAGTTAAGTAGTGGGGCGTGAAGGGGGGGTGGAGCTTGATCGCGGCCGTGACAGGGTTCGAGGAAAAAGTTACCAGGGTGGACTGCTCCGCGGGCGGCGAGGTGCTAGTGACGGCGTGCTACGACAGGACGTGGAAGATGTGGAGCGGGGTGGAGGATTGAGGAAAGGGACGGGTCTCTGAGAGAGTTTGTGTGCATGGTCGAGGTGGTGGGGTATGGGGATAATATACGGAGGGCGAGAGTTAGCGGGGACGTGGAAAAAGTAGGGAGGTTCACGTGGAGGGTTCGTCTTCGGGCTCTCCGGGCTCCTCCGACTGGACATAGTTGCAGTTGCGGATGAATCAAGCGTTGTTCCGAGCGTGGATGAGGGCCTTGTATTTGACTTCGTCATAGTCAAAAAGGTTATACTGGACCTGAAAACCGCCAAGCATGGCGTCAACGTTTTCACCGTACATCTGGCGACTGTCGAAAAAGTAATCGCGGGCCTCATATAGGGTCTGATTCAGCTCGGGGTCATGCTCTTTCTTCGCGCAATTCCAAACGTTACTATTCTGGGCGCGTACCCAGCTATCTCACATAGCGTTAACGTGTCTGCGCAGGGCGAAGACAGCGAGGTTGAACTTGTCGCGCTGGTGGAGCATGTGTAGAACGTCTGCCTTGCGGCGGCAGTAGACGCTAGGAAAGATCTTGACGCTAGAGTTGGCGACGATATAGCGGAGGGCATTGTCTGGGGAGAGGGCGGAGCCGTCCAGGGCGGGCTCGCCGAAGTGCTTCCCGAGCTCAGTGCGCTTCAAGACGTCGTCGGCGTAGCCGCGGTTGGGCGTGCACGCGCCGGCCGACGAGTAGCGGCAGCGTTCGAGCGAGTGCACGAACTAGGTCGAGCCCTGGCGCGCGCCCGTGAGGATGAGGGCGCGCGCGCAGGGCAGCGTGTCGTGCGGCACGAAGTCGGTGGCGGGCGCCGAAGGCAGTGCGACGAGCAGGAGGGCGGCCGTGGCCAGCACGCAGACGAGCAGCAGCAACAGGAGCACGGGGCGCCGCGAGGCGTGCTTCGGGCCTCGTGCAGGGCGAGAGAGAACTTCCACATGAAAGTACGTCTGCCACCCTGTTTCGAGCAGCAATATGGGTCTCGCCAGTGTGCTTGCGGGAGTGAGCTCTTACGTTGGCCCTCTTGTTGAAGGCGCGGGGGCAGATGGCGCATGTGAAGACGTGGTCGGAGTCGGCGGCGGGCAGCTTTGGTGGCGCTGTGTTTGTTGCGCCGACCGCTGAGGAATGGGTCCTGGAGGAAAGGGTATTGGTCCAGTGGCACTGGACCTCTTGCCTCATGTGAGGCAAGAGGTCCAGGTCCAGAGCTTGTGAAGTTCACAGTAACCTTGATCAGTGCTCTTGCGCAGGTCCAAGATAGAGTTTATCCTCTATACGATCGTCATCGCTGCTTTTCCCAGGTGCCTCTAAGGCACCCTTTATTCAACGTGACAGCCTTTACAACGGCACACGTGCGCATTGCCACTTCGCACAAGTTGGTAACGTGGCAATAACACGATGCAAAAAAAGCCAACGTGTAAGTCGTGGCCACATTGAAAATGCGAGATCTAAAGTCCTTTCTGCATGAAGATTCATGAAGTTATAAACTTTCTGCATGAATAAATCAGCAAAAAGCAAAAATGAAAAAATGGACTTGATATCGCTGTATGATACCGTGCCAAGCGAAAATGGTGCTCTTACTGCGAGGTCGGTCTTATTCAAAGTGCTCTTATATCCCCCCCCCCCCCCCCCCTGTACTGCGCAAAAATTGTTTCAGGAGGCGCTCAATTATCCGCTATTGAATTCCCCCCAAATTTACGATACAGTAGATTTGTATCGAGAATTGTATCGAGACTGGTGTTTCGTAAACTCCCTACTGGGCCGTGAGGGCTGCCGGGCAGGAACCCCGCTCCCGATTAGAAGAGCCCTGGAGGCATCACGGCGCAGTTTAGAATATGCGGTTTTGATGATCTCGGGCCCATTCGAGGTATGATATATTCTGTTGTTCATTCTGTAAGAAGTACAGTCCCTCCTACGATATAGTGCAATAGCGTGACATACCTCTAGCTATGGCACTATTGGAGGGATGGCACTATATAAAGGAGGCTCAAATACGTATAATTGGGGACAAAGCACAGTGTCTGCTAACACAGACACAACAAAACCTGTAAAACATAACTAAAAAACTTCATCCTTTGAGTACTGAGCACTCGTCGCCATATTTCTCGTACTGTACGTATATCGTAACACTGAACCATGCTGGACGATACACGTGTGGGCTTATGATAACCTGTGCCAGAGGGTGAACCATAGCACTATATAAAGGGAAGCACTACTAAAGAAGGCACTATTGAGCGACCCCCCCCCCCTGCACAGTGTATCTCGGTGAAACAAGGAGATTTCAGGCGATCTTCTTGGCCAACGGGAAAGGTTGAGCTGGCTCCTTTTATGAATGCAATGCATCCTCGCAGAAAGCAGTCTCGATGGAAAACGGCAGTGCAGAGGTTTAAGTCTCGCCGACACTGGCTCTGCACAAAAGAGCTGCCCCACACGAGGAGATTGAAGGCCTGATATCAATAGGCCTCCCACCTACCCGGTCATCCAAAGATGCCGGCTTCTGCGGGGTTTACCCAAGGGTACTGTACAATCCCACGTGTTCGATGCCAATTTGTATCCCCTTCACGACCCCTGCCTTCCACCCACAAACGCACTTCAAGCCTCGAAATCACGCTTCCTGTATATATATAACTTTTCCAAATTTCACCCCATGCGCCACGGCCATCTACAGTACCCTTGGCACCCTGTATATAGATATGCACATTGGGGCGACCCTTCGACCTTCGCCCCCCTCTTCCGTTCCCTCACCTACCACCGCCACTTAGTAACGCATCGCCACTTCATCCCCCCCTTGCTACTTCTCCAATCATGAGTACCGCTATCGTTAGACCCATGAAGCGCCCCGGCACGGGGCGCTTGGGCACCCCCGTCGAGCTCGACACTAACTTCTTCCCTGCCTCGCTCCCATCCGGCCTCGTCATTTCTCAGTATGCTGTCTCCATCTACCGCCAACCCAAGCAAGGATCCTCTTCCGCAGAGATGGAAAACGTCGCATCGACACAGCCCGTCGTTTGGAACAAGGCCATCTTCCGCGCCTTTCTCAGGCGCAACCAAAGAGCCCTCGGCCGCACCCTCGCCTACGACGGACGCTCCATCTGTTTTGCCTCAAAAGAGGTCAGCAGGGATTGCCTTGCCGTTAAGTTCCCTTTGACCGTCGACAGGGACGGCAACGAAGCCCGCCAGAAGCCAGGCGAAACCGCCAAAATCGAACAAGTTGCCGTCGAGATCAAGCACGCAAACTATCTCAAGTTCGACGACGTCCTCAGCGGTCGCGTTGGGGATTCTCTATTCAACCAGTATCTCACCGCGGTCGACGTTGTCATTAGCGCTTCACATATGACCTCCCACGTCCAAGTCGGCCGTTCATTTTACAACGCAAGCGGCGCAAAGCCCCTCGGACGCTACTCCGTCACCGCCAGCGCCTGGCGCGGTTTTTACCAGAGCGCCCGACTCTCGCCATCAGGCCTGCTCATCAACTTGGACGAGTCATACACGGCATTTTGGAATCGCGGCGGAGAGCCGCTCATCAACCTGGTCCGGGATGCTAACAATGGTAGAGACCTTAATCCTAAAGACCCCAGGGCAGTACGCAGTATCACTTCCACCCTCAAGGGCCTCAAGGTCAGGGCTGTGCACACTGGAATTACCTATCGCGTGTTTGGATTTTCGTCAAAGGGCGCTGGACAAATCACGTTTGAAGTCGACGGGGAGAGGAAGACTATCGCCGACTATTTTCATTCGGCCTACGGCATCAGGCTGAGGCATCCGAATCTGCCGTGCATTAAGACCCAACCTAAGAAGGAGACTTATCTCCCCATGGAGTTGCTTGAGGTCTCGGAAAAGCAGCGCCTCATGGGCAAGCTCTCAGAGGACCAGACGCGCAGCATCGTCAAGATTGCGAGCACTCGCCCATCGAACAGGCGCACTGCCGCCGTCAACACAATGAAGCAGCTCAACCATAGCAACGACCCGGTGTGCAAGGACTTTGGCATCCAGGTCAAGCCCAAAATGATCGGTGTTCGCGCTAGGGTATTGCAAACTCCATTTATACGCTATACAGACAAAGTTGTCAAGCCAGAGAGGGGCGCTTGGAAGGCCCCACGCGACCGCTGCCATCAACCGGGAAACCTATTTTCGTGGGCCGTGATTAACACCTCTGACCTAAGGGAGAGAGACCTTGCCCACTTTCTCAAAGAGCTCTGCACACGAGCGGCCTCGGCAGGAATAAACATCCCCAACCAGAAACCTAAGATCGTGCAGATGCGCCGCAACTCGCGCGTCGACTCGGAGATGAGGACTCTCAAGCACGACTTCGACACGATCGAGTCGCTCCGTGTTAAGGGAGCTCGTCTGCAGCTCATAGTTGTGATCTTTGATCGCCGAGACACAGATATGTATAATAGTGTTAAGCGAACGGGCGACATCGAGTTGGGGGTACCCTCACAAGTGCTCCTGAAGAAGAACCTCATTTCGGATCGCGGGCTTTCCATGTTCTGCGACAATGTCCTGCTGAAGATGAATGCTAAGATTGGCGGCGGCAATTTTAAGGCGCTCCGATATCAGGATAAGGGCAGCGTGAAGAGAAACCATATGACTGATCCCACTTTTATCAACTATCCTCATATCGTGCTCGGTGCGGATGTCACGCATCCTATGGCCGGCGATTCGAATCCGAGTGTCGCCGCCCTCGTGGGCAGTCGTGACAGCTACATGGGGCAGTTTTCGGGCGCAATTCGCAACCAAACCGGGCGGAAGGAAGTCATTACAGAGCTTGGAGATATGTTCAAGGAGGTCTACTCGCGCTGGTATGCAGGATTTGGAAAGCGATTCCCTGCAGCGGCGATCATCATGTTTCGAGATGGTGTGTCAGAGGGGCAATTTGAGGAAGTCATGCAAATAGAGGTTGCCGCCATACGCAACGCTTGCCTCCAGATATCATCTTCTTGGAAACCTAAGATTACTTACATCATTGTCACGAAGAGGCATCACGCTCGCTTTTTCCCACGATCCCAATCATCAGGTGATCGCTCAGGAAACATTGACCCCGGTACTGTCGTCGACACTGGCGTTGTGAGCAGCCAGTTTTACGATTTTTACCTTAACTCCCACGCAGGGATTATCGGCACCAACAAGCCCGCCAAATATACTGTGCTTGTCGATGAAAACAATACTCCGGTGGACGCTCTTCAGGGGTATATCTTCCGCCTTGCTCACTGTTTCCAACGCTGCAGTCGCTCGGTATCTATGGTGAACAGCGCATACTACGCCCATTTGCTCGCGTTCCGAGGCCGCGCGTATCACAAGGACAATTCGGATTCTGGATCTGTGTCATCATCGCATTCGATTGTCCCTTCTGCGCCGAAGTTTCATAGATATGTGGAGAACATTCTCTTCTTCCTTTAACTTTTGCATTCGAAAGACTTACGGGTGGGGACCACATATCTTCTCGAAAGTATACGAACGTTCAGCTTCAGTGCAGAAGTGAAATAGTGCATCAGGTGTAACTGACTAAGCGATCAAACAGTGATCAAAAAAGTCAAAACATGACGAGATAAGTGCAGCAGTGTCGGGAAGCTAGAGTCAAGGATCGGTGACCACGGGCCCCAGATCTGGACCTTCAATTATCTTTTCTGGTCTTCTTACATTGCACGAAATTTAAGAAAAGAAGAAATGCCCTCAACACGCAAATGAATTTCCATCCGGATAAGAACTACACTTACCTTCTGGCCCTTGCAAAACATCTGGTGGGGAAGAACAGCTGGATACCCTTGAGAAATTGTTCCTTTGATATGCTCTTTATGAATTACCACACATTGTAAAAACCCATGATGCAGCATAATCTGCTCAGACTTCTTGGGCTTTCATTGTACAGTACTCAAGACTTGCGAAAGTTGTACTGTAAATGCCGCGGACAAATACGTCAAGCACATGGTGATAAACCAATGGTCTACAGTAATTTGGGTTCGTAGATTTCCAGCAAAATAGTTACGGCACGTATCGCACAAAGCAAATCGCTCGTCATGTAGGCAGTAGTGATTTCTCTAGACTGGCAAACAAGAAACCGTGACGTGATTGAATTATCTCTCTCAGAGTTGCTACCTCTCTTGTCTGTGCGCTATCGTTGTCGAGATCTTGTCTAATGCTCTCCGATTGTGGAGAGCAGTAGTGACCTTGCTCAGCCACAGTCTCAAGGTATTTCGTTAAAACTGTACGGGGAAAAAAAGTCTCGTACACTACCCTTACCCTAGCTTAAGGGTACGCATTCACGTGGACAGCACTGCCAGCCACTGCCTCGGGATGAGTGTGAAGAGGAGTTCCGGTAAATTCACACACCCAATCCAATGCCTGCACACATAGCGTTGCACACGTGGCGATCCTTCAAGCTCACTTCCTCAACCATTTATTATCACCTTGTGTGTCGGGTTGTTCTCATCCTGCCATGAGCGCCTGGCGGAGACTCCGGTCAAGGGGCCGCGGGTTGATTCGATGATTCCCAGGCGATGGAAAGTAGAGAGGGGCATGGGAAAGGCGAGGTATATAAACGACGATCAGTACAAATATGACGGAGGAGCACGCAGATCCGGTACAAAGAGAGGTGGCTATCCAGGGTTATGGGTTCGTGAGAGGCGGGTGATACGAGTTGATCGTTTTTGAAAGGACACAGTACGAAATGGTTGGGGCAGCAGTTGCTTACGGTGTTTGGGGGAGAGTTTGAGTCAGGTTTGATGCAAATGGGAATGAGATGGAATGGGAAGAGTCCTTTGCCTTAATCACGGGTTGCGTTCGGCGTTTATCTCATCGAAAAGATCAAAAGTAATGCAATCATCAGGTTTGGCTTTCTCAAGTAGTTTCAGAAGATGATGATCGGGAAGTGCGCATGGTCAGACTACTTGGGGTACTATGCCAGACAGAAGTCTGTACTACAGCGATTCCAGGGATGCTGAACCATTCTTGGCATTTCTCCGGGAATAATGCATGGAAGAAATGGATGGAGCACTCTCCTCTCAAAATTAGCAACCATCGGGAAGCGGTACACCTGAGAGGAAAGATTCACGGCATTTTTCATTCCAGCTGTGAATGTTCTGATCTCAATATTCTTTCCGCGTGCTTTTAGCGATACCCTTTCGAATGAATGCATGATTTTCTGCTCCAGACTCCACCACGAGAAGTCTGGTCGCGAGCAATATGACACGTGATTGTATGAAGTGCTTGCATGTCAAAAGTGTATGGCTTCGAAATTTTTGGAGATGCCGTGAAATCGCATGAGAACTGCATTTTGAGTGAACAACACTTACGTTGACTCTTGACGAATGACACTTCCAGTGTTTTCATGCCTGTTTTTCCAGTTTTCAACTGCGAAGGAACATTCAGAACGACAAGTACAACATGATCAGGCAGCAGTTTTGCTTGCAAGCCGCGGAATCATTACTCATCGCCTTCATGGCTCTAGAAAGTGTTCGGGTATTTAAGGCAGCCAGGATCGGAAAAGACCGTTCTCGGTACACCACCAACCAAGCACCATCAAACCCCACAGTCGTCAGGAAGTACATTCAATTCAAAAATCACTACAAATATGTCCTCTCATATGACGGACGTCGATGACCTTGACTTTGAGGATAAGCTTGCGCTGTTTGAGAAAAAGTTTTGTAAGTCTTCTGATGATGGAGTACATTCGCGAAGCAAGGTGTCTCACGGAAACGACAATGACATTGAGCAAACCGGACTCACCCCGTCTGAGGTAGAGATGGAACTGCGTGGACTATTGAAGGAATTTATTTCATGCATTCCGACGTTGCAAAACATGGCAGTTTCTTCCGATGAGACTGACGACGTTGGCTTTAATGAGAAGTGGCTTCGCTCTGAAGTGAGCAGGGAAATCTTCAGAACGGAGATTCGTACAACCGTTTCCCAACTTCGCCGCTTCCAATCGGTTAGGCACGAGCAGATGGAGCACAAGTCCAGTGCTCAGAACTCCAATATGCGATCGTTGAAGCGCATGCTTGCAGAGCGGACGGAAGAACTTGAGGGGTTGCAAAAGAAGCACTCAGCGCTGGAAAAAGAACGCCGCGACTTGCTCGAGAACGTGGACCGTCTTACGTCTTCACTCTGCGCGTGCAAGGTCTTCCATGTTCCTTTGAAAGAAGAGGTGACAGAGCTTCGCGAAGAGAACAAAGCGAAACAGAAGACAATATCGGAAAACGAGGAAGCAATGAAGAGAAACGTTGCGGAACGAGCCCGTTTCCAGAGTACCATTGCACGTTACAGAGAAGAGTTGCAGTTAGCTAATCACCACGCCGAGACAGTTGAACTGGATGCGAAGCACGCGAAGGAAGAGTCCGCGTTGTTAAAGGAAAGGGCTAGAGAGGCCATGGCAAGCTCTTCTGCCGTGAGTGCCCGTATCAAGGAATTGCAGGACGTGCAAGATGCAATGCTCCACATCATGCAAGATTCGTCAAGCAAAACTGACAAGCAGAAACTTCGGAGAAATCTGGAGGATCTCAACGAAACGCGCTCTCGCCTTGTGGGAAAAATCGCTAACCTGCTAACTGGGAAACGCCGCGGTGGGACGAGGACTTCAGATCCGTCTTCGCCGCGAAGTGTAAACTCTCATGCAATTACCCCAAAGACGAAAAATGTCATTTCAACAACGGGGGCAGTTGGAGACGCTATCCATCAGTTTGCACCAGCTGCATCCAATTCGAACAGTTCGAATGAACATGCGGCGTCTCCGAGTCAAAGTGCCAGCAGCCGAAAGTTCTTTGAAAACCTACGCAAATTCGGGGGCGACCTCGTAAAAAAGAAGTCGAACCAGGGTCCGAACGAAACCTTCCCAAACGAGTCTCCGCGGCAGCAGCGCCAATTTGTGCTGGAGAATGTAGAGCGGTCACGAGTGGCCATTGAGAACGATGTCGCACTACGCGGAGTAATCGAAATGAAGGAGAATGAGATTCATAGAATGGAAAAGGAGCTGAACGACGCAAGGGAAAGAACGGCTGAACTGGAGATTTGCCTTCAGAAGGAACGACACAAACGCCGATTAGAAAACCGCTCCATCAACAATTCGGATGGGCAAAAGATGACTGTGGAAGCGTCTTCGGCCACCATCACACACCGCAAGTCGTTGTTTGACTGGCAGACTGGCAAGGCGAAGAATGGCCATCCCATTTCACGCGGGGAGGAAATAAAAGCGGCGACATCGTGGGAAGTGCGACCGAAGAAGATGGAACAAACAGGTGTTCGGAGGGCTTAGGTTCGGCGTTTAACGAGGGCTCGCCTGACGCATGACAGGAACGAGCAGAAAAGAAGTCGAGCTCAGATGGTTCCTTCCTCTTGTACAAGTGCTCCTGCTTTTGCTTGTTGCGTTTCGCCTGACAGAACGGGTGACTGCGTAGCGCAGAACAGGCACCATCTATAGTTAATAAAGGGACCCCCTTAGTGTGGGGTTAGCAACGATATTTGTTTCATTTTCTCTAGTTGGAATCCACAGTCCAGGGCGAGAGATTGATTTGGACAAAGCCCTTAGGGAGGCGCGGCTTCCAAATCGAGGTTCAACAAGATAGTAAACGAGAAGAAAAGTGCCAAGCGCCTTCAGCATTGCTACCTTATTTTCTCAAAGGATTTTCTTGCGGGGTTATTGAAATGGATGTAAACACGCTCTAAAACAGTCGCATGAGAAACGGATGGCCGAGAAGAAGGTTTTACGATGAAAGACAAGCACTTCGTAGGTAATGTGCTCCATCAGCGATTGGGTCGGGTCAAGTTGACTTTGAACCACCGGCGGTCGCCTTCATATATCCGATTCGTTTTTCGGCTGTCCAGCGAGTAAAAGAAGAGTGGTGACATGCCTGGCGAAATGAAGAAGTAGGAACAGTGGTATCGCCAGCAGTATCAATAAGATTGATGGGCGCTACCAAAATGAATTTGAAAGAGTCCGTTGTCGATACCTCTCCTCGGGAAAAGTACATGCGTACATCAACAATTGGTGGTGGGGGTATCTCATAAAGCAGTGAAGCCAGCGTCACGGAATTTGCCACGAATCGGTCTGCGGCCTTTTTCTTTTCAACTTTGTATGGCTGAGAGTCAACCATGAGTGATGCTTTCGGGGAATTGTTGCCGCGTTGTCGTGGAAATGCAGTCCCATGAGTCAGAATGGTAAGGAATGCCCATTAAACGGACAGGAAAGGTGGAAGAGGCGACCATAGATTCGGGGAGGATAGAGAATGTGTGACATTGGAGTTCTTTCGAACAAGATTTTGCGCACAGATGAGGCTCTCTCTCTCTCTCTCTCTCTCTCTCTCTCTCTCTCTCTCTCTCTCTCTCCCTGTCAAGCCTGCTCAGGTATTCCGCGTCTCTGATCATCCCGAAAGCTTCTCAAAACAAATATGAAAGCGTTGCATCCATTACAGCGTAGCAGAGCCGATCCCAAACGCAAGGCCAGGATCCTTCTTCGGCGCAGGCCATCACAGTACCTGCTTCATGGAAGCTGCAAGGCAGAAATGAACATACGGAGGCAACGCCAGCTGCCAGCGATCATGCAACGGCCCCCCCTCGCGGACGGCCCATCTCGTGAAGTCGATTATTTCCAATTCCAAAAATCGCTCACATGGGAACGGCGCATCCTGATACAGTACAATATCATGATCCTTTTTACGGTCAGTCCGTACGCACGACAACCCAACATTACTGTATGGTAGAGCTAAAAAGTTAATGCACTTGTACTTCCCAGTTTTAAGCCAGCTCCTTCCTGAAACCATAAATCCACCCTGCGGAGAATTATCACTAGTAAGTCCATGTTGGAAGAATTTCTGAAAGCGCCATTTCAAAATCCTCAACAAAGAGCAAAAAGAAAAGCAGCCGCTATTGGGAGTTGCCTTGCAAGAGATTCACCGGCGCCCGGGGCCACGACATCTGCTGACGTGGGTAAACAAATGAAAGCAATGCCCAATGGTCTCGCAAAGTACGGCGATCATGTCGTGGACAACGGTCGTGTAGCATTGCTGCAAATGTTACTCTTCTAGCGTGCAACCGTGTTGGTGACAAAGCACACAACAGTTTTAGTAAGGTTTTGTTCATGACTGCATGTATCTTCTACAGGGCGTAAAATCATCTAGTAAACAACCTAAATACCCCAGTCACACCGCTCTCGAACAAGGTCAACAATCCTCCAAATATAGAATTCGCATTTGGAACCCGGACGTTTAGTGTTGCGAGCTTCCCATCTGGAGAAGGAAATCTCTTTTCCTTGAACATGAATGCAGAGGCTTGGTTTCGAGAATAAAAAATCACGGCAGTCCTAGATTGAAGGCCGCTTTTTTATTGCGCAGAGCAATCACAGAATGTCCCTTGAGATATAGTGCATGCCTGGCATGGTTTGAAATACTACCCTCTTACTCGTCGCTGCCCGTGGTAAGCAGTACAATACATTCTGCAGCCAGTGGTATAATCAGTGTCGTCTGACCGCAACTACTGACCGTAGAAAGTAACCTCAATTAACAATAGGGCACCTGCAAAATGCTAGGACTCCCCTTTTTCTTGCAAACGACGTTGAGCGTCTGGCACATTTGTACCCTTAGGTACACAGATGCATTTTTCCCTTTCCGCTCTGGGAAAGAAAACATATTCAGCGATAAAAGTAAAGCATCTAGAGAATCACTTCTCATGGTTAACCCAATGAGCCTAAGTATGTTGCAATATGCAGGTCCATCTGATCCAAGTTCAGCTTTAGCCATGCGGAAAGAGGACCACACGCATTCTCGCAATATGCGATGCTGGAAAGCTACAAAATCTCATCGACGCTCCCGAACTGCGCATCGGTCCTAGTCTCTTGTGTACAATTATCATTGTCCTGAGTGACAGGAGGTTTTCTCCAAGAACAGGCAAACACTAATCTCCTGAGGTGCAGTTTAAACTTTAAACTTTAAAGCCGCCTGGCCAACTTCGTTGCCTTGCGCTGGTGTTCGCTACGTAATCTTCCACCAATCTTCTCTAAGCCTGTGTTTCGACTTGTGGAATACTCACAGCTTTCTGTAAGGTTATGTATACGCTACAATGCAATGTGATTGGAAACTCGAACACTTGCACCCAACCAATATCTTGGGCACAAGTCCGCCATAGAACCACCACGTGCCCCGTTGCCATCATTTGAACGATTTCCTGATCCCTTTTCTTGAAAATGATCTTCCTAAAATTGCAATTCCACACTTGCTTGAGAGTGCCTCATAAGGATGGATGGATATACAGTAACCGGTTTTAGTTTTGCCGCTTTTTCCTCATTGCTGTCGTTTTGAGTAGGTCCCTTATTGAGAGAGTATTCCATATTACCGAGTCTTTCCACTCTGAATGTATCATTCGTCATGCGCTGGTTGTCCAGCTCCCATGTATGAGGAATCATGCGCATGGTTGTGGGCCTTAAAGGACTGTAATTTGACAATTCCATCTCGTAACTCATCCAAAGCGACACTCCCACAGCTCACTTCATCATCTCGAAACAGCCCTGTGACCATGAACTGATAGAGCATGCCCAAAGTCTTCACTGCGTGATGCACTCTGCTGAAAACGAAACTCTATTTATTTCCCTCAGTACAACCTGTGGAGCCCGAAGCTTCCATGGGCTGCACTGAGGAACAAAGAAGGGCAACGGATGAATCAAAGCCCTATCCATTCGTTCTTCATTCAGGCGCGCCATGTCTATTGAAGGGTCTAGCGGGCCATCACCGCGGAAGAATGATAACAGAAATTCCTTACCATTCCTGTTGCATGGAAAATGTCCCGGTTGTAAACACGAACTCATGTATCATCTCAGAGACTACGACGCTCCGCAAGATCGAAAACGGATAAATTCGGGGAAAAACTGCAACGTCTGTGTCAACGGAACGCTCGAAATGCACTGCGTAATGTGCGAAAAAGTGTGTGTGTACTGTCCTCATTGCTCCGGATACGCCGAGAAGTCCGCAGGAGACAGCTCAAGGAACGGATCGAAGGGAAAACCGAGGCGCAAACCGAGTACTAGAACATCGTCTACGCGATGATGCCAGTTACGGCTTTACTTCAATCACAGGCCATGTCGTGCCTCATCGAATACCGTCACATCTTGCTCGCCGAAGAATCTAAAACGCTCCAGCATCTAATTGAACAATACGTGTCACTCCGGGCAGTTTAACGACACCTGATGCTTCCATCTCCCGAGAGACGCGAGACCAGTTTGGGTTTCAACAATTATTGGTAACGAGTCTATTTCAGGGAGCCCCTACGCCATGAACACAGACCGTACCAAATATACCAATGGAATTGCAAACAGGGAATGACGATGGTTTAGAACGCATTGTAGTTACTTTACATCCGTCATCTCTGACTGTTTTCTGACCGTTGCGATACTGACAATAAAGAAGCCGCCCATACGTCGAGTGTTAGTAGCTAGATGACATATGGCCACAGATGAGCCCAATCGATCTCACTATTCACTGTTAACTTAACTCGTTTTTCTGCATCGCAGTGAGGTTGGCAGTTCTTTCCCAATCGTTTTAAGAACGCCGGCGAAGAGGTGCTTATGAGCATTTCGATACAATCTATGCATTGTAAAACTCCGATATGCATTTTGCGGTAAATTGTTTTCTTCTGCTTTCGATGTAGTTCAGTATTGTTATCCCGAGGCCAGGCAAAGCTTCCTTGCCTGGAGAGTCTCGACGACAAGAAACCTCAGATGAGGTCAATTGACCCATGCGACTACTTGTCATTTTATTTTTCCCAACCTGTGTCTACTCGAAAGGAAGAGGAAAGATACCCTCGAGTCCAACCAAAAAACAAAAAAAAAAAAAAAAAAAAAAAAAACACTCCGGTGTTTCGTAAAGATGCATACTGGTGCGAAACGCACATCGTTTTCACGCGTTTTTAGAGAGAGAGTGTGGAAAACAAGAATGTTTGAACAACCTTGAGCCGGTATATATTGATATCTTCGAAGTCAAAACACGCTCTTCAAATTCAACTTGTTCAGTGACATTCATCGAAGTATTCTTCTTTCAGTGTATTTCAAACTGCCTTTCCATGGTTTTGTCCGATTGGAAGGCACACACGTTCAAGAAACGGTGTCCGAAGTGAACGTGTAGATTATCAATTTGTTTTTGTGCTGTGCTGCAAGAAGCGATAGCTCAGATTCTCTGGTCTTGGGACTTGTCTCTCTCCTGAGGGGAGTCCCAGCCTCCGTCGTCCGACGGCGTCGTCGGTGAGCCGTTGGCGTTGTCCTACGTGTACTACGTGTATGCTTCTGGCCCTGATTGCTTCTGGCCCTTAGATGTCGACTCCTTTGTCCATGTGATGCAAAGATCAGACCGATACCACCGACCCACGACGGTGGGAGAGGCGACCGCGGCTTTATATTGTTGTGAAGAGTACTTGCCCTATGCCAGAGCCCTATCTGGGGTGCTACCTTATCCTGCTGACATCCCGTGATTGGTTTAAGCTCAGGTAGTCCGAGCTTCGTTTTGGGTTCTGGGTGGAACTACACTCCCCCGGACGCAAGGTCTGCTTGTGCGGGATGCCGTTGTATTTGGATGCTGTGCCTGTGTTTTTGTACAACATGGTCAAAATATAGTGAATATGTCGTCTTGTTACGTAACAACACGACAGATTCACCATATTCACGAGTACTCGTTATTGGGATTTGCGACACTTTGCTTTGGCCCGTTTGCACTTTTTCGCGCAGGAAATGGCATCGTACATCGATAACTGTGCGTCTGCGCGTGGTTCCGGTGTTATTTGTCATTTTTCCTAACGCCGTGTTGTCAATGCGCAGTACGGGCTGCCTGGGGGATGCATGTTTCTCGTATCATATTTGTCAGCCAGAGAGTGAGCGTAGCAGTTTCGGCAGCCGCAAAACACGTGGGATAGCTCCCTTCTGCCCTAGTTTGGGAGAGGGGGGAGGTTTCGTGGAGGGAGCATGCCACGTGGACGTGCGGCTCGCTATTTAACCAGGTACGGACTAACTCGCGAAAAGGTAGTTCCTCACTGGCCGGTTATGCGCAGTCGCTCCGTGTTGCATATACAGAGGCGACCGGTAACGAGTTAGATGCCAGCGGGCGAATAAACAACCGAGCCGTCGTTGATTAGACGCGAAAGAGACGGGGGCGAGCCTGCCCCAGTTTACTGGTGAGGACAGGTTTCAGGTCTTAACTGCTCAAGAGACCCCTAAAACACCTGTCCCAGTACAGTACCTGCCGCCTAATGCGTGCAGCGTAATGTACACAATTAAAATGCTAGTGCCAGAAATATTAACTACGGCGCGGATGCTGCCACTATACGTGTGTGCTGCCGAACATGGTTAATAGCTACTAAATACAGCACGGACCACACGGGTGACGCTGTACACGCGTAACACTCGAACACTACCGCACGGACGACACGTGTGCAAACCGTACACTTACGCCACGCCACGACCCATCGGTACACGCGTGCGCTCCCTACACGCGGGCACGCCCGCCCACATGGACAGCGTGGCGGTAGCCACATTTATGACCTCTGCGCGTGTCGGTCTTTATACTACAATATATTCAGGTTCACAGGTGCTTTTTGAGACGATGGGTTCTTGTCGTGCGAGCTATTGTAGCGGGAATGTGATGGGCAGCGTGACCGTTCCGGCGACTGACTCGTGCGTTGACTAGTCGTTGGCATAATCTGCGTCGGAATGGGCATAGATGGAGATGCCGCTGTGTGTGCCTTTTCGAATGAGGATGCTCTCCATGCGTGTCGTGTGAAGTTTATGCGTGAGACTGTGTAGCAGTGTCCAATGTCGTTAGTTTGGTCCCTTCAGCGCTCGTGCAAGTTTCTTTGCTGCGAACTCTATATCAGACCTGGTGCTTTCTGCAGTGTACCCCATTTCTCTGACCGCTCTGCCATAAATGTCTGTGATGTCTTCCCTTGTATTCTCCTCGCTTGTGGGGGCCCAACTTGACCCCTCCAAGATATTGTATGCGTTCGGGGATTCATTCATTCAGTCTGAAAGAGCAATGAAATAGCACTTTTAATTTGTTGGAGCTTGAAGATGTGGATCCTTTTGTTTCCCGTACTATATGGACCAGTTCAAGAATTGTCAGAGCTTCGTAGTGGCTTGCATTGGTACTTGGCGTGTAGCATGTGATATAGTGCGTCTATGATCGTGCAGTTGGTGGCTGTGGGTAAAAATCCATCCATGCTTATCCCTATGATACTTAGGTCGTCCCTGTGCTGTAGTCTCCAGAGAAAGGTGTCCGAACGTAGTTGCTTGTATCCATGATTTTGAAGTTGTTATGGAGCCCTGTTATAGATATGTTCGCGGCTGCTGGCGGGGATTTAATGTTCCCTTTCAGTTGTCCGTGCGTTCTGTTGTGCTTGTTGGTTCCATCGAACCGATGTCGTTACCATTCAAATACCTTTTTGGGCGCTGGTATTTTTCGTGTAGGTAAACTCCCATGACGTCGAAGTGTTCGAAGTACATGTTCATCGAGGCGGCGAGGGCGAATGGTGTTCGGATTGTTGTCCGATCCGCCATTTATGTGGCTGTTTTTGTCCGGATCGTAGTGCACCTTTGGCCTCATGAGGTCCCCTCTGATGGAGCGGCGTGCTTCGCGTATGGGGTTTGATGATGACGTACTGTGTTTGTATCGGTACGTCATCGTCATGGGCAGGATGTGTTTTTGTGGGTTGTGATGCGTTGGATGACCAGTCCATTGCTTTCATGCGGTCGAGTTAGTCAATTTCTTCTTCGTTTGCTTTGCGCCATTCTGTTTCATCTGCGAATTTGTGGCGCATTTACTCTTTTTGGGTGGTGCTGGGGTTTGGGTGATTTTTTGGGGATGTGTCTTGCCTTTGGCTTTCAGTTCTGCTTTCTTTCCGCGTGGTATGCGGCCGTGGTGTTGGTGCAGGGTTCGCATTTTTTTTTTCGCATGGCTTGAAATTGACTGCCCTTATTTTGTTGTAGCGTCGTGATTACATTTCCCGGACGCATAAATGTGTGTCGTCTAGTCCATGCATGTATCGAACTTTTGTTCGCCTTTTTCTGGAGCTTGGGCAGGTGTGGTTTGAATATGGGTATAAATCCCAGTTGCTCGAATGTGAATGTTGATTTAATTCGTGGCTCTATGTTGTATCATTGGGCGTGTGGTATGCCGTAGATGCTGTGGTGGTACGTTAGGTTATATTTGAAGACAGCGTCGTCCAATGAGTCTTGCCAGTGGACAGCATGGGGACGACTGTGTGAAATGGTGGTTCGGACCTTTTCCATCAGTGTCCGGTTGACGCGTTCATCGAGTACATTTACCTACGGTTTTTGCGGCGTCCTGGCTCTGTACGTGAAGCCCCGTTGTCGTAATCGGTTTTGTACTTGTATCGCTAGGTGCTTCTTGGGGTTGTCAGAGACGAGCAGGTGGGGTGCTGTAGTGCAATGCGCCTGGCTGGCTGTGGCCGAGGTCCGATGACAAAACACAACCAAAATAAAGAAAGCAAGCGAACAGCCGACAGCGCAGCGCTACCAAGCGCTCGGAGCTCCCTTTCCCTTCAACCGGGTTTGCGGCCTGCAGTAGTTCCGATCTCAAAGTAGGTGGGCGGAAGGAAGAAGCCCCTTCCGGGATGATGGTGTGGTAGAGTCTTTTGAAGGCTGGATTCTAGACGAGTGCGGGGGTGTCTAGGTAACCCTGGCCCGATGGGACGTAAATCCAATACTCGTAGAGCGCCTTCTATACCTTATGCTCACGACAAGGTCTTCGTCAGGGGTGTCGCAACAAGCTCCGATGGACGAAAAAACAGTAGCAACGCTTCACCCGCGTGTTGCCAGATGTAAAAACACCTACACCGGTCCGCCCGCAACCAGAATCTGATGGAACAAACGATATCTTGCTCAAGCAAAAAGATTTTCCGCGGGGGCGTCGCATTGAGTCTCGACGGGAAAAAGTTTCAGTAGCAGCGCTTTACCTTTGTGCTGCCCAATGGGAAAAAGCACCAACACCAGATCAGTCACAACTACAGTCCGATGGAACCAACACAATGAAAACACTGATGATGT